AGCTTCTGCTTTCATTTCCGGAAAAACAAAATGACAAAACTATTGAGAAATAGGTTCAAAGACATAAGAGAGCGAGATAAAGAACAAAAATGATTTGTACACTAATTGAAACGGTCAACGAATATATTTATAAATATGTGTTTTGTCATTTTGTTTTTCCGGAAGATGAAAGCAGAAGCTTTCGAAAGCTCGAATAATAAAATCCAAATGTATGACTTTTGCTAAAATTCTATTACTATGATCTTTATAGCAGTACTGTACTCTCTCCTCTTTCGTATTGTAAGTAGGACTTTCAGTTCTTCTCCTCTTGATATGTGTTCTTCTTCTTTTCTTTAATTCGCTCTGCAAGTGGTGGTAATGTCCGTCCAAAAGTATATCCCAATCGGATAATAGACGCAGGCGTTCGGTTCTCATCATACAATTCACAGCAATTCCCTGCCACTATGGAACCACAATACTGGTATCCGTCCGACATGAGAAGTGACCTGAGTAACCAAACGACGGAGCCTACTCTAGGTACCAAGGAAGCTTGGCCTGTTGAGCAACTTTATGCTCCTTACTCACTCGAACGCTCACGTCGTAATCGCCAGATGGACTTTCGCGACAATGCTACTTATCGTCTTAGAAAAGAATTAAATCGTCGATGATTACGTTTAACGGTTAACATCATTCAAGAGAATACGAGAAGGAATAGTGCTGCAAATAAGTTACTCATATGTGTTCTGAACTAAACAATTTTTTCCTTACTATTTATTGATTTCGTTCGTAGTAGAAGTGTAAAGAGAAGAGTTACGATTTTATTTCAAATGATTAGCCGAATTTCAAACTTTCTTGATGGGATATGCTTTCCATTTCCACAAAATAAGATTTTGGGAAAGTGTAAAAGTTAGAACGTTTTGGAGTTAGGCGTATAAGAGTTAAAACGTGAAACGCTGTAATTGGCGAGAAACTTATTTAAACATCGCAAATCCCTCAGATAAATTCAGATTTGTGAAAAGAAAACAATATTCACCCGTCTACTAAGCTCCCGCAGGGATAACCGAATACAATAATCACAGTTGTCTGCTTGCATCTTTAATATCTGTCACCATTTCAGTCTGGTAGAATGTCTCTCACAAATGAGAGACAGACGTTAAAAATAAGTTGGACTCATAGAAACAAAGAATATAAATGGATGATAGAGAGGACATTCAGTTCATAAAAACGATCACCAATGAATCTTGCCGTTTGTGTCAGCTGTGAATGAAGCTTCCTTTTTTCTGAACATTCTTGAATAACAAATTGTTTTGCTTTAACTTCCAAATCTGGATACGTATCCCAAAATGCATCCCCTCTTTTTCCACCTCTACCATCATTTGCAAAGTCATCAAAATCTTTGTTGACTAAAATATTTGACCATTTGTGAGCTGTGAAGGCAGACATTATATATCACCTGGACCGTAACGCTTGTGGAAATATTTATACATCGAGCACGCGTTATCGTACAGAAATATATTAGCCAATATTGATTTTATATTTGGACTTACAATTTACACAGTAATCATTGGAGCTATCATCTGTTTTCTTCATGTACCAGAAGGTGTATTGCCACATTGTAACTATATCATACCTCAAGGAGATCAAAAATCGTTTAAAGCCAACAAAAAGTACATTGAAAGCATACCCAGTTCCTCACAATATACGTTTACCAAATGATTCTTACAGGTCCATCTTTTATCTTTTCGCGCAGCCATCCGAAACAAACGTTCTTGAACACTGCACACCACATGAATGAAACCTTTTGTGACCTGTCCAAAAATTCGCAAATGAGTATTCAGTTCACCATAACGGTTCATCGTACAATATAATATCTCATTTCTACCAACTGACATCGAAATTTCAAGTTCATCATCTTTCAACTAGAAAAATATCATTAAACAGTGCTGATACAGGAAATAGTTGTCATGTAGCGATCTTCTATTCAATAACTGATCAAATCCCATATTACTATCCAATCCGTCTTCACTGTTGAGACGTACTTTCGAAAGGGTAGTATTACAACCTTTCTCGAAATTTTCGAACCCGGCATAATGATGAACCAACGCTGACGCCACGCCGATGAACAGCTCTACCGAAAACACGAATTTCCCCCGCAAAATATATGTAATATTTTTGATGAATACTTTGACTATAAACAGACTTCTTTATATTGGTAATAAATGTGTGTAGATAACAATCGATCTTACATCCAAGACAAACCGAATGATAAATCTTTCCCGGTGCCACCGCAATAAACGTATAAATCGTAACATCCAGGATACTGCACCACACTTACTACATTTGCCCACAAACGGTATAATAGCATTTAATGTTAATGACCCAATCGATCTTCTCAAATAACTGCCCAATCTTTTGACAATATTCACCGCGTCCAGAAAGTTCATTAACCGCCCACCTTTCAGTTTCGACACAAACTTAATATCGAACCCTTGAAACAATTTATTAAACTTTTCACTTAATCGTCGCAACATCCTTCAATTTCGTCACATCATCCATCCTGCTCGAACAGTAATCTAATACAGTGTGCTCTTCCACAGAATGATCAAGGATTAAACACAACAACTGATATTCGTCGGCACTAACTTCTATTTTAATATTAGTCATAATTACACACAACCAACACCTAGAACATACCTAATTGAAGTTCATCTTACAACTAGCACGCCATTCGTAAAGTAGTTACAATTATTAAAGGTACTAACCTTTAACACTTATAAAAGGTGTTATTCTAACACAATTTATTTCAAATCAGACAACACACCGATTATCAAGTCAAAAATACATAAAAGGAAAAAGCAATTCAACATTTATCATAAACCAAATAAAAAACACATTGAGTAATGTTCATTTTGTGCTCTTGTTTTCGAATGCAATAGACGAGCCAGCACCTTTACGTTTCCCGTCATCTATCAAAACTTCAGAATCATCTCTTTTCATTATTCTCTTCCACCACATCAAAGTCATAAACAGTACCGGATAGATCACTCAAAACTAAAGATGTTAAAAACAATTAAAAAACGTACTAAAACACGTTACACTAACCACTTGACAATGTTGGTCTTCGTCCGGAACCACTTCCAGATAAGCATTTAAACTGCGATACTCGTTTGCTGCGAACGGACCACAACCAGGCCACGTTTCATTGTTAAACTAAAAAGATTCCTATAAGGCAAATGCATTTTTCTTGACGACATTCGCCGATTGTTTCCATCATTACCAAAACTATTTCTGTTAAAAGTAAATGATATTAACTTAGTATCGCTTATTGATGATATTGATTTTATTGCACAACCAGAACGTATTGAAGCTTGTCCATCAGAAATAATGGATGTCTATCAGTCAACAGTAGTCTCGACTGATGTCAGTCAAGGACGACACGACAATATGCGATTTGAATGTATTGAACGAAAACTAGCTGCTTTACATGCACAAGGTCAACAAATACTTGATAATACTTAGGCAATACTACCAAACACTCATCGGAAGCTGACACAGACATTTGAATTGGTGGAATAAACAGTTCTCGGACTAGTTATTGTTTTACTTGGATCTGGAAGAATGAGCGAAAGTTGGTGAAAACTGAAAACCAGTGTCAGTGTTTGCTCTACTATTCAGTCTAGAAATAGCTGAAGTCCCGTGCTTTACACTGTTAGAGCGGCGTGGGAGTTCTAGATTATCTACTGATGTTGAATTTGGAAAAAAATGGGTAAAACACCCAAAATCACGACTTGTACATTTTTTATTAAAAAATCAGAACACTGACGAAAAATCTATATTATCCTTACTAGGTATGTTCTCATAATTTTAAGATAATTATATAACGATGGCCATATTATTTATTTTCTAATAAATAATAAGACCGTGACTCCATGGGAGCATTCTGAAATGCTCTTAAGGTGATCTTTGTGATTAACGTGACGAGTTGCACTACTTCTGAACATGTCATGTGATTGGCAGAGTCGATGTAAAGTCTGACACACTCCGAAAAGAACTATAGCTGGTTCTGTGTCATGGTGGTAACCATTTTTGTCTTCTTCCTTTTCTTATGTGAAATAAAGCGCAGCGTGTTCTACAAACAGTATCGACACATAATTATTTCGAATTTTGAGGTCAGTTGACTGACGTAGAAAAGAACATGACGAAAATAATACTCACAATGATCAACAAACTTGATCCTGTTTTTTCCTTTCTGTTGGAAATTTACAACATACTCTTTTTATTTCAGTTTTCTTCAAGCACAAATTATTACGCAAAAAATTTTTTCATCTGTTTTTGTATCTTTCCTCATGTATTTGTCATCGACAGCAAAGAGAGAGAGTAAAAGTATGTACACTGTAATCTGGAATTATTTTCAATTTTAAAAATCGACTAAAAAATCCCTGAGGATTTTCAAATTTATAGAAAATGTTGATTTTCTAGAATCTTGAAAATCAAGGAGGATTTTCAAGTTTTTAGAAAATCAATTGATTTTCTATAAATAATTTTCAACATTCTTCTTCAATCATCGTTTTGTTTAAAATTCTTGGGTAAATATAAGTGCGAATATTTTCACACTTCGAATAACTTTGAATTTTTTCCTTCTGGATCACAGCCCGTCGAGGAAATTATTTATAGAAAATCGCCGTTGATTTTCAGAAAGTCCATATATGAAATTGCCGAGGATTTTCGATTTTTTAAAAATTGATGTCGATTTTCAAGATTGTTGGGAATTATTCGTAGAAAATCAATGAAGAATTACCTACCGATACTAAATTTTTCCAATGAGAAAACAGCACATCTGATACCCACCATAATAATACAATTGTAATTAAGTTTATATTTTTTTGTCATTTCAATAAATTTTTCTTTGATGCTGCCTCCTGTATGTGGATGAGAGAATGGTTGTGTTTCGAGATTGTATCGATGTAGATTAAACTCATTATCCACAAAGTGCACAGAAAAACATATATACGACAAATGTTTGTGTTTGTCCGACCAAATATTAGCCGTCATACTTGGATATGCCGGAGCCAATTTAAGTTGTTTTAATAATTTCTCGTAATAAACCTTGAAAATTTTATTAACATTGTCCGAACAAAGTGTTGTGCGTATTGGTATATCGGCACGTGATGATGCAACTATTGATGACACTAAAAAATCTTGAAATCCTTCGTTTTCTACAATTGAAAATGGCAATAGTGATCTACAACACATTAACGTTAATGATTTTCCCAACTAATAAGTCACCATTTTGTTCAAATTCGACTAATTGGCTTCTAACTGTTAAACGATCATCCAAAGCCATCGATGGAAATGTTACCCGATCCAAATAGACAGCAATCTGAAAGAAACAGAATAAATATAAACGAAGACAAAGCGTTGTGTAAAAGAAGAACACGGTGCCGATACTTACCAACATGCAAATCTCTTCATTTTTATCCATTCTGTCGTCGAAATAATGTAAAAACTTTTTAAAAACTTGAGCTTTCAATTAACTGATGCTTGTGTTTGTTGTTTTTACTTCGAGAAATTTTTGTAAAATGATAATCACTACGTATTTTAATGATTGCATTGGATACGTGGAACCAGATAATAATTTCGAACATTCTTGAAATTGTGAAAAAAATTATTTTAAATAGAATTCATGCTAGGGGATGTTAGTTTGCATCCTGATTCCGAACATCATATTCATTTTGTCTTAAAACTGTTTTTTGTTGGTCATAGTCTGGCAATACCTGGCCATTTTATAACTTTTCTACTCTTTTTTGTAGTATTTCCACTTTTTATTTTCCACATTTTAGATCGTTCTACAAAAAGAAGATGAAAGAATCATGAAAGGACAAGTGGTTAAGACCATTTTTCCGCCTTTTTTTATTGAAAAATCTTTTGCCGTGGTACCCGAGAAGTCTGTTTAGAATAGTAATGATACGTTATATATGTGTGAAAATGATTGTTCTATCAATTCCTGACAGATTAACAACTGTTTTTAAATTGATGTTTAAACACCAATTTAAAAACAGTCGTCGTATATAAGTCTGTCCTAAATGTCGCATATTCGACGACGAAACATATGTGAATTGTAAAAAACGGTTTTCAAAAACGAGTTTCCAGAGAGTTCATAGGATTTCATAGACCTCAAACCTCTTTCTAAATCATATTATTCCCGAGTTCGTTTAATTCCGAATAAAAGAAGGCGTCAAAAGCGTGCCCACGTAACTCTTTCAGCAGAGATGTTATGTCAAGAACATTTATTTAAGCACCAATATGAAGATTTTATAAAAACGAATAAAAATGTGAACCAAGTAAAATAAAATGGTCGTTTTGATTGTGAAAATCGCTCTTTCACTGTGGATCGTCCCTGATCAAAATGACCATTTAACAACGATGGTCAAAATGACTATCTAACCAAAAACGGTCAAAATAAGCATAGTAACTATGGTACAAATGACGATATAGTAATTATGGTACAAAGGAGTACATGAGAATATCGTGCAAATAACCATCCGATAACTATAACTGAAATAAACATGGAGAAGAGTATAGTGTTAGGTCCGGTATATGTTGTTGTGTATAAGTAGTTTATTAAGGTACTTAAGATCATCTTTTGCACAAAATTAGCGTATATTTATAGTTAAGTTTACACAAAAAGCCGAATATTCTAGAGTTGATAAACTACACTGGGAAACTGGGGAGACATGTAAGAGATCATAGAAACTAAAGAAACCAA